GGTAAATGCCTCGGGAGGGCGGGTAAACGAAATTCCGCACATTTGTGTGAGAAGCCTGTGAAATATTAGGATATAATCTCCTCCTTTACTGGGAGAAATGAGATGTTCATCATGGTTTCCGGAGTATTGAGTGATGCTGTTCTTGCACTATTATGGCTGTTCTGCAGGTTGGACAGGGCTATTCTGTCCCTGTGTCTTGTTTGGGCGGAATGTCGAGAGGATGAGAGATGATACACCATGGACTACACCATGCCTCTGTCACGCTGCATGCATTGAAGGTGGTATTGCTCTTGCTGCAGTGACGGCTCTCTCCCATGGGGTCATAGTGGATCCAAATACATCGTTCCTTATATGCGAGGGTCTGTTGTTTGCTTGGTGGATGTGTGGTATTTACACCGGTCTGGCGAGGCAGTCTTTGCAGAAGAAGTATCATCTGAAGGTAATTTTTTTCTTCTGTTTCTCCGAGTTTTTGCTACTGTCTTCAGTTCTTTAACTTGATCGTTGGACCCTGGCTGCGTTCATTTGCAAAGCATGTGCACTAGTATATGCTGGGAGTGCTATGCGTTCTGATTGGTAATTCTTACTGGTTTCACTGATCTGTAAACAAAACTCTTCGAGGAGATTGTATGATCTTGGATTTCTAGCCTTGGGATGACACTGCTGCTGGCCTTGTTTGTGGTTCAATAGTTTGTGATGAAATTTCTGGCCACTCCTTGGTGTTAGAGATGCATCTGTATGTGAACTCTTCAGGCTTAGACCACTTTAATTCCTAGCATGCCGCCTGCATCAATCATGCCTAATTGGTGTATCATCCTGTTCTTAAGCGAATTGTCCTTTTGAACTCATAAGAGCATGAAGCTTTCAATTATTATGACTAATACCTCTCAATCGGGTTTTTGCAGAACGCTCCATGCGACCCATGCATGGTGCACTGCTGCATGCACTGGTGCGCTCTCTGCCAGGAGCACAGGGAAATGAAGGGCCGCCTCTCAGATAACTTCGTCATGCCGATGACCATTGTGAACCCCCCTCCCGTCCAAGAGATGTCAGCAGCAGAGACCTCCACCGCCGAAAACCATGATCATGCAGCTCCATCTTCATCAGATAAGGGTCCAGCTCAGTTGGAAATGCAGGTTCTATAGAAGCAAACCACCTCCATTAGTGAAACACAGTTGGGTCATGCGAGATTATTGTTCATTGTCCTCGATTTCGCTTTAGAACAAAAATCAAACTTGAACTACATACTTATCGCCTTTGGTGGCACCCCCCTTTTGTAGAGTGAATTCCATAGTCCTTGGAAACGATTGATCACCCTCTCTGTCTCCCTCTCTCTCTCTCTCCCTGAAAAAAGTTCATCTTCATCTATGGCTTGATGCAATGGCCGGCTGGGAGCTGTGCTTTCTTTCCATGAATACATGTGCTGGGACCAGAAAAATATGAGGGAAGAAGAAGGGGAATTCTGGCATATGGATTTCCTGAGTACAAAAGTTTGAGCCACGTTCCCCGTATTAAATTACTGACTTGTCCATTCTTTATTATAGTTCTGTGCAGCTTTGTAAACTGTACTGCATGTCCCTGCTGCCAAATCTTTTACCCTCTGTCTCGTACAAGTTCATTATTGTCTGGGACTCTGGGGTGAGATTCTTGCATTTCCGTATACTGTCAAAAGCATAACTACCCCGTCTTCCATTTCTAGATATCGACCACTTCAGTGGGAAACACCTAATAAGAATCCACCCATTGTAATTGTTTTAGTTCAACACACTTATTACCAAAAATTTGGTATTATATGTTTGTTCTTATATGGGTTGTCCACATGTCGACATCTTTATACTTCATCATCATTGATCGTATTACACCACGTATTGTCCGAGATTGTGTTGTAATTATTGTTCACTCTTTCGTTGACCATACTACAAAATCTCTCCTAATTGAAAGATTCTACTAGACCTTGATGCTTGGCAATAACGAGCATAAATTACCTTTCTAGCATTGGGCCCCTGACTTTCATAATACATGATTTTTCAATTACACTAGTTCGCAGCGTTAATAAACTAATAATAAAATGAAGTTACGAATAACTCTCATATTTGATTAAACTATTATGCAAAATCAATTTAACTTAAGAAACCTTTGCATCATACATATTAATGAGATAGTGAATGTTGTAGGTAATAGTGAAGGAATTTTATTTAGTAATATAAGTAAATTAAGTTACGAAAAGATCACACTAACTGACTTTACAAAACCTTTGTGTTAGGGGTGTCATTTCGGTTTCCGGTTAGCGGCTAACCGGCCGGTCTAACCGTTAACCGCCGGTTAGCGGCTAACCGAAAACCGGGAAAATTCATGCACGGTCGGTTTACGGAAGCTGGGTATGGGCAGGCGGTTAGCCGAGTAATCGTAGCCGGTTAACCGGCTAACCGGCTCTAACCGAGCGATTGAAACGACGCCGTTTTGGACAAGAGAAGTCGACCCCCATCCCCAACCCTAGACCCTCTTCGCTTCGCACTTCCATCCGCCACTCTCCCCCCACAGACGGGCCCTTCCCCCGCCGACCCCTTCCTTCCCCCGCCGGTCGCCTTTTCCCTCCGACCCCTTCCTTCACCTTTCCCTTCGACAGTCCCAGTCCCAGGCTCCCAGGCCCCAGCCCTCCGAAGTCCGCTCACGAACGCCGCCTTCCTCCCTCGACGTCGCCTCCACCTCGACGTCGCCCCGCCGCCCTCCTTCTCGTCGCCCCGCCGCCCTCCTCCACCTCGACGGTGCCCCGCCGCTCGCCCCGCCGCCCTCCTTCTCGTCGCCCCGCCGCCCTCCAGAAGCAGCAGCAGCGACGTCGCCCTCCAAATGTATGTCGAATGATTTGTGCCGATTGGAATGGTGGTTTTGGACTTTTGGTGGATTTATGTCTGATTGGTGTTTGGTGATGATTTTGATTTTTGAACAACCTTGCGATTTGCTGTGGTGATGATTTTGGTGCCGATTGTATAATGATTTTTGGTGGATTGGTGTTTGGTGATGATTTTGAACAACCTTGCGATTTGATGTGGTGATGATTTTGAGTAGGAGGGTGTGGATTGAAATTGAGATTTGTCGAGAAGGTTTTGTTCATGTAGTGATCTTTCCCTTCCCATATGAATCCATTCTCCCCATTTTTAGGCCAGCAGACCGAACCGGCCTTCCCTTTTCGGTTTTGCCGGTTTAACCGTGCCTTAACCGAAACCGCCCGGTCGGTTTACGGATAACCGATGCCCCTGGGTCGGTCGGTGGCCGGTGGTGCCTGGTCAGGTCGCGGTTTAACCGAAAACCGAGAATTCGGTTTTCGGTTAAACCGAAACCGACCGGGTGACAGCCCTACTTTGTGTAATGTAAATTGTTGAGATGGTCAACAATTTAGTTAAAATTTAGAAATTTCATTCAAATTTTTATATAACATACGACTTACATATTACATGTATTTCATTTTTTTTTTGGCAAAGGTAGTATGTATTAGATAGGGAATTACAGATCGTTAAAAAATAAATAGCGGAAATCAGCCAAACGCTGATTAGCCGATGCAAGAGCTGTTTTCGCCACGCAATGGGCAGCCCTGTTAGTTCTACGAGGAGAAAATACAAAACGAATAAACGCGAAGGATTCTTTCATCTGCCGGACTTCTTCCAGTATCGCTCCCCCACGATTGTGGTCTTGTCGCGCCTCCGCAGCTCGCAGAATCACCGTTTGGGAGTCCCCACAGAAACAAACAGAGGATAATATGTTCTACTTAATTGATACATAATTGATACATAACTGATCCCTCAATAAGCTTTATATTGTTTCTTTACTATTACGAAAGTCTTATGTAATATGTTCTACTTAATTGATACATAAGGAATAATTATCCTTTGTAAGCTTTATGTAACATATTTGTTATATAAATATTTTACAATGTGTGATCTAATAATAAAATCAAGTAGAGAACGTATTACATTTAATTAAACCACTATGTAAACGTAAATTACATTACAAAGCTTTTCCGTAATAATAATTGATGAGATGATGAAAATTGTAGTTAATAATAAGTTTTACATGTAAAAATTTTAATTACTGAACTTTTCATATTGTGAATTAAAAAAGTGCATACATAGTTGTTTATAGGGGAGAAATAGCTAATAGTGAAATAGGGCGTTGGAGATGAATTTTTTTTATCGAAACAATTGATTATATGAGAGAAAGTATTTATGATGAAATGGCTATATGAATAAAAATTAAACTTATCTTACGGAACTTTTGCATAATTGTGAATATCTCAGATAACAGTAAAGAAAATTTAGCTAATAATAAGTGAATTAAGTTACAAAAGTACCACATTTGATTAAATTGTCATGAGAAAGATAACTGATCTTACAAAACTCTTGTGTAATGCAAATTAATTAGATGGTCAACAATTTAGTCTAGTTTTAGAATTTTCATCCAAAAAATTATGTAAAATTTAACTTATGTTATAAACTTTTTCGTAATGCAAATTAATTATATAATTATCATTTTGAAGCCAATAAAAATTTAAATAATGTATTTGTAATACATAAATATTTTCTTTATATGGAATGAAAAAAGTATATAGTAGTTTGCCCATGATTTTTTCTCATGAAACTATCGAACAATCATACAATTTTCAAGAAATCGTATTAACCACATATTGTATCATATGACATTGCATGAATTTTTACAATCCTACTTGCATAATCCATAGAATCTTGAAATCCATGTACTCTAAAGTCTAAACATGCATGCCCGCCAAACCACCCCTTAATCCCTACTATATTATACTTTACGTGGAAAACACCAAACAGCAAAGGGAAGCTCTTCCTTTTGTCTGTTTCCAGAACAGATCAGAAAACTTGCCAAGCGCCCAAGCCAATACCGACATTTCCAATTTCTTTCTTTTTATTTAATCCGTCTTTTTCCTTCTCCCCTGGGATTTCAGTCAAACCTCTTGTTCAAACGCTTTCAAACCCATTTCAGCTTTTGCCCATATAACACGCATCTCTCAACTCTCTCTCTCTCTCTCTCTCTCTCTCTACCTCCACTCTCTCTCTCTCTGTCGAGGGGCTTCCATGGAAGAGCTTCGGGCAGAAACCGGCGGGAGAGAAGAGAAGAGGGAAAAAAGCACGACGCTGGAGAAGCACAACAACGGAGCAATGGTACAGTACTTCCAACCACCACCACCAAGGCCTCCGAGATTGCTTGCTGTCCCGGCCGTGGTGAGGCGAGCTGCAGCGAATCACGAGGTGAAGCTTGCGGCAATCGCCGTCGACTTCAACGTCCGGCTGAGATCCGCCGACATGCCGGGGACGATGCAGGAGCGCGCCTTCCGTTCCACCAGAGCTTTCCTCGATGCTTGCCCCGATAAGCGCCCCAATCCCACCCGTCTCGCCATGTGTTTGAAGAAGGTCTGTGACAGAGAGTTCATTCCTCTGTTTTTTTTCTGGCCCAACTCTGTTTTTGGTACCCAAAAAAGTTCCCTTTTCCCATTCCGCTTTAACCCAACAACCGCAATGAAAGACTTTTCTTGTCTAATTAAGCTCCGTTGACTCAAAATCGACTGCCTTTACTTGATTTGATTGTTTTTTTTCTGGGGTGATCAGGAGTTTGATGGAGCGTACGGGCCGGCGTGGCACTGCATAGCGGGGAAGAGTTTCGGGTCGTTCGTGACCCATGCCAACGGCGGGTTCGTGTATTTCTCGGTGGACAACCTCTGTTTTCTTCTGTTCAAGACGGAGGTCCGGCCGGTGGTGAAACCCAAACCACCTCGACTGCTGAAGCTCACCATCAAGGACTGAAGAAAAAACCCAATATGCATATAGTCTCCCGCAGAAGTTCGTTTGTGTGTAATTTTGGAGATGGGGAAAAAAGAAAAGCAATCTGTCTCTGTGGTTAGGTTTTTGGGGACTTTAAATCACTGCAATATGGCAGTTACCAAGTTGAAAGTTTCAGACTTTCTACTGTACAAATGTGTTTTTTTTTTGTTATTGCTTTTAGGATCAAGGAAATATGGAATTTAATGGTGGCTCTCAACCAAATTTGCTTGAAGGGAACTTATTTGTTGCCTGATTCAGAAGAAACTTTTCTGCAGTGTCCTACAGGAAAAGCTGCAGACTTTTTGCTTGTGGGTTATTCTCATGTGGTTACTGTCCATACAAGGAGTGGTTTTTGGTTTATGATGTAGCTAGTTATTACTAAAAGTTCAATTCGTTAGTTTATTTAATCTTCGATGGATTATGGAAAACCACCATCTGGCACAAATCAAAATTTGGCGGTTGGATTTTCAAATCACAGAGCCTCTTGGAGCCAACGGTCGCAACCCTTCAAACGATTATATATACATGCAAGACTGCTCTACTCTGTATTATGATTCTAAAATAAAATCATAACTCATCCCTGTGTGTTGTTTTCTTCCTACAACAATCACCATAACTAACTGTTAAAGTAAAATCAAGAAAGAAACTGCCTTTGTGCCACAATTCAGCGTTGTTTTTTGTGATTTCATGTTGATCAGGAAAATGCCTCCTCTCGCCCTCTCCTCCCGTTTCCGGCAATCCATCACGCCAGATGCACTCCGATCGTATCTCGCCGAATTCATCTCCACCTTCTTCTTCGTGTTCGCTGTCGTCGGCTCTTCCATGGCGTCGAGTAAGTCTAACGTGTTCTTCTCTATCTCCTTTCATCAATTGACAACCGTATTTCTTCATCTGGGTTCTGATTACGGTCTGATTTTTCGTGTTTGGGAAAAAAAAAACAGAGAAATTGACCCCTGAAGCAGAGGGCGACCCGTCAAGTCTAGTAACCGTAGCCATCGCCAACACCTTCGCGCTCTCCTCCGCCGTCTACATCGCCGCCGGAGCCTCCGGCGGTCACGTCAACCCCGCCGTGACGTTCGGAATGGCCGTCGGCGGCCACATCAGCGTCCCCACCGCACTCTTCTACTGGCTGTCCCAGATGTTGGCCTCCGTCTTCGCTTCCCTCGTCCTCCGAGTCATGACTGTTTCCCAAGTAATCCCTATCAGTTTCATTCTTTTCGGTACCCATCAATTTCAGTTTTTGACCTAATTGGGTCTTCCTCTGTTTTTGTCGCAGCGTGTTCCGACGTACGCGATTGCGGAGGAAATGACGGGATTTGGGGCGTCGATGCTGGAAGGGCTTTTGACATTTGTGTTGGTGTACACGGTCTACGCTTGCAGTGACCCGAGACGTGGGCCGTTGGTCGCGATTGGGCCGCTGGTGATTGGGCTCACGGCTGGAGCGGGTGTGTTGTCGGCTGGGCCGTTCTCGGGCGGGTCGATGAACCCGGCTTGTGCTTTCGGGTCGGCCGTCATCGCCGGGAAGTTGAAGAACCAGGCGGTTTACTGGGTCGGGCCGTTGATCGGAGCGGGCGTTGCGGGGCTTGTTTATGATAACGTTGTGTTCCCGCCTGAAGTCCCGGCGGTTTCCATTAGAGGGGTTTCCGATGCCGTCGGCGTTTGATTCTTTTGTAATTCTGTTTGGGACCTGTTTGTAATATTTCCCCGTTTTTTCTGTCTATTATTTTATAATTTTTTTTCTCATTCTTTTTTTTGATAATGATGATATAGATTTTATTAGTAAAAAACTATCACTAAACCATGTTTATATTTATTAATTATATTTAGGATTAGTTACTGAGTGAATCCAAACTCTAGGGATCGTTTCTGTAATTGACCAAGCAAAATAATACGAACAGCCGTTTTAGAATCTCCAGAATAAAGAGAAAAAAGAAACGTATCCAGCGGTGCAGAACTTTGAACTTCGAAGCAATCGAGATAAGTTTTGTGCCCTGCAACTGCAAGACTGCACAGTTACAACTTCACAGGCTCTTCCGAGCTATAGAACATTCCTCAGCATTCTATGGCGCCGGGAGTTTTCTCTGCATATCTGTCGCCGATATCTCTACCGCACCACCGTCTGACGTGTGTTAACCCACAATTCATCCGGATTAAATCGAAGAGCTATCCCGCAATCTGTAATGTCGCGCAATCGAAGACCCAACACGAATTGCCTGTCTCCGACGACGAAGTCGAAGTGCCGGTTTCTGTACCGGAACACGGGGGAAGAGGGGCAGCTGCTCCGGGTCGAGGTGAACGGTTCCTTGAGCGGCAGAGAGCATTCGAGGCAGCGAAGCTGGTGATGAAAGAGGCCAAGAAGAAAAGGAAGAACGATAGAGTTAAAACCTTGAAGGTGAATACGGCGGTGGCTTGCTGTTATGGTTGCGGAGCTCCGTTGCAGACCTCGGAGCTTGATGCTCCTGGTTATGTGGCGGTCGATACTTATGAGTTGGTAGGTTCATAGATTGGTGCGTTCCAACTGTTTGTGAAATTGACTCTGAGAAGTCCGAATTCTTATTTTTCTGTTTCGGTTCGGGTCGCAGAAGAAGAAGCATCGCCAGCTTAGGACTGTGCTTTGTGGAAGGTGCAAGCTCTTGTCTCATGGACACATGATCACTGCAGTTGGTGGGAATGGAGGATATTCCGGTGGGAAGCAGTTCGTTACTGCGGATGAGCTCCGGGAAAAGCTGTCTCATTTGCGCAATGAGAAGGCTTTAATTGTCAAACTGGTGAGCAAGTCCACTGAAATTTCGTCTCTATTGAACAACTGAAAAATTTGCCCTGGCATTTGGGTAAAGATTGTTGATTATTGGATGAATATTTCTGCGAGGTAGGTTGACATTGTCGACTTCAATGGCAGCTTCTTGGCTCGTGTGCGTGACCTCGCAGGCGCAAATCCGATAATATTAGTGATAACCAAGGTAAGTACCTTCCATTCTATATGCAGCCTTCTGACTTTGATTGGAAGTATAGAGATTATGCACAATTTCTGAACTTCATGCCTGCTTACACCGACAGATTGATCTCCTTCCAAAAGAGACTGATTTTAACTGTATTGGTGATTGGGTTGTGGAGGCTACTACAAAAAAGAAGCTAAAGTTTGTCGTCTCATCACTGGCTTGTTCTTCCTGAAATACATACTGTGTTTTGGTATCACCAAATCTCATTGTATTGATATACCCATCTTCTTTGCTTCTAGTGTTTTGAGTGTCCATCTCACAAGCTCAAAATCATTAGTTGGAATAACAGGAGTTATAGCAGAAATTCAGAAGGAGAAGAAGGTACCATTCTGCTCCACTTTATGAATGATGTCTTGGCTGAGCTTTAATTGTTTTCATCAACTAATAATGTTTGCCCCGTATTCTTATAATGCAGGGTCGGGATGTGTACATTCTTGTAAGTATCATGACGAACTGAAAGATATGAAGAAACATTTGCACTATAGTTCACTGTATCATGAGTACCTCTATACGAGTTCAAATTCCAGGTCAACTGACTTCACATACTTTTTATGCTTTAGGGTTCAGCAAATGTTGGGAAGTCGGCTTTCATCAATGCATTACTGAGTAAGTCCAAGTTGACCTAAGATATGTGGTATTAATAGATAAAACAAATAATTCTTGAATCTTTTGTCCATTTGGGGAGTAGTTGACTATTTGTCGCTGGTCACTGAATTTGCTCCACATCACTTCTAGGTGTGAATATTGGAATTGATTAAAGCAGCCATCTGATGTATTGATTCTTTTGTAATGTGATACTCTAGAAATGATGGCTGAGCGGGATCCAGCTGCTGCAGCTGCTCGGAAATATAAACCGATACAATCTGCTGTTCCAGGAACTACACTAGGTCCAATTCAGATTGATGCATTCCTTGGAGGAGCGGTATACTGATTTTGGCAGCCCACCAGTGATTCAGTTATTTAATTTCTTCGGAAAGTTCCTTCTGAAGTATGTATCTCTTGTTCTTTTTAACAGAAATTGTTTGACACACCTGGAGTTCACCTGCACCATAGGCAAGCTGCAGTTGTACATTCAGAAGATCTACCAATCCTTGCTCCAAGGAGTCGTCTAAAGGCACAGGTCTTTCCTGTAAGTTCTCCTCACAACAACTTCAGGTAAAGATCTGTTTTGGGTTGAGTGTTACGCTGAGAATTTGGATTTTGGTGTTATCAGAATGCAATTGTCGCTGGAGAAAATGGGATTGCAGAGAAATTGGAATCTGATGGCCTGAATAGTTTCACAATATTTTGGGGAGGTCTTGTCCGCATTGATGTGTTAAAGGTGTCTTTCTTTGGAACTCTTGATTCCCTTCATGAACTACTAATCCATGTATTTTATGAACTGAATTACTTCCTTTCCTGGTCCCTTTAGGTTCTCCCTGAGACATCCTTGACATTCTATGGTCCAAAAGCATTGAAGATTCATATAGTGCACTCTGATAAAGCTGATGAATACTATCAGGTACATCAAGACTTCTGTAGTAATAGTCACATGCATTATGCTTATTTTCTTGCAAGGAAATGTTCACTGATCCCTTTCTCATTTATATGCTGTGCTGCAGAATGAAGTTGGAGTTTCATTAACACCTCCAACTGGAAAGGACAAAGCAGAAAGCTGGAAAGGACTTGAAATCCAGCGACAACTATGCATAAAATTTGAAGAAGCACATAGGTACTTTGCTCATTTCTAGTTATCAGAAGCCGTTTCTCCCCTCCTTTGAACTCTAAACTGAATCCGTTCATTACGTTCTGGGATAGGCCTGCAAGTGATATAGCAATATCCGGCCTGGGATGGATTGCTGTTGAGCCTGTTAGGAAATCGCTGACACCTCAGAGCTCTGATCTGCAGCTAGAAGAGTCTGCAAAAGAGCTGCATTTCGTTGTTCATGTCCCGAAACCTGTTGAGATCTTTGTTAGGCCTCCACTGCCAGTGGGCAAGGCCGGTGCAGAGAGGTACCAATATAGAGAATTAACAGACAAAGAAGAGGAATCAAGACCCAAATGGTACTATTAGATGATGGGTTTTGGTTTGTTATATTGTCTTGTACATATGCTTTTGACGACGGTACAATGCTTCGTGTATGTATAATTCTGTGCGGAAATGATCTTATCATGCAATGTTGTACTATTGTTTATTCCTTTACATGTTGTGTACCCTTCAAATTGAAGGATATCATCACTGAACTTCAAAACCGAAGGTAATTTGCATTGCAGATTTTGTGAATTTGATGCAGTGGAGTTATCGAAATTCTTTTCCCGCCGGTAGAATAAAAGGAAAATACAATACCGAAATCAAGGCCTTGGGGCATAATAAAAAACAGAAGAAGAAAAGTGGCCTTGGGACTTCATCGAAGCCCAACAAGACCATATATGGGCTCGTTTCGGCCCTTTGAAAAAGGGGCAAAAGAGACTAATGCAGAAAGTTCATTTTCCCGCTTTTTGTCTTGGAGAAGAGAGAGCGCGTCATCCCAAAACTTCAAAAAAAAAATGAGCGAGTTCCTCTCCCGCCAAAGCTTCTGAACTCGTTCTGCATCTTCCACTTTGAAATTCCGGGCTCAGTTCAGTCATCAGTGGTTGATGGCTTTCTAACTCGGAAAGCCCTGTAGTTAGCCCTCTTCAACCACCGGTATAATTTCCCGCTCTTCGTTATCCTTGAAGCACCTTCTTAGTATCTGTTAGGGTTTCTTGTTTGAAATTCAAAGGAGAAATGCACATCAAGGAGGTAAGCTTGGAGGGGTTCAAATCTTATGCCACCAGGACGGTGGTGAAGGGATTCGATAAGTGCTTCAATGCTATAACTGGGCTGAACGGTTCTGGCAAATCGAATATTCTCGATTCCATTTGCTTCGTGCTGGGAATTACCAATTTGCAGCAGGTTCGTGCTTCAAATCTCCAGGAGCTCGTCTACAAACAAGGCCAAGCAGGAATTACCAAAGCCACAGTCTCTGTTGTGTTTGATAATTCGGATCGGAGTAGGAGCCCGCTTGGGTATGAAGACCATTCTGAAATCACCGTTACTAGACAGGTTTGTTACAGTGTGCTTTATAGCGTAGATTCTCTTTTCTTTTATCCGTAATTTGGTTCGAGGGAGATTTTTTTTTTTGTTGTCCTTGTAGCATTTTGGTAGCTAATGTAGGGATTTCGGTATATGCTATGTATGACATTGCTCAACTTCTATATTGCTTCGAGAGACCAATTTTTATGGGTAATTTGCAGATTGTGGTTGGAGGAAGGAACAAGTATCTGATAAATGGGAAGCTTGCCCAACCCAGTCAAGTCCAGAACTTATTTCATTCGGTGCAGCTAAATGTCAACAATCCGCATTTTCTAATTATGCAAGGCCGCATTACGAAGGTCCTAAACATGAAACCTCCCGAGATCTTATCTATGCTTGAGGAGGCTGCTGGAACAAGAATGTACGAGACCAAGAAGGATTCTGCATTGAAAACGCTTGAGAAGAAGCAGGGTAAGGTTGATGAGATTAATAAGCTTCTTGACCATGAAATACTACCTGCTTTGGAAAAGTTGAGAAAGGAACGAATGCAGTATATGCAATGGGCTAATGGCAACGCGGAATTGGATCGGCTGAAGAGGTTCTGCATTGCCTATGAGTATGTTCAAGCTGAGAGGATAAGAGACACTGCAGTTGGCGAGGTGGAGGAAATTAAAGGCAAGATTAGAGAGATTGATGATAATACTGAAAAGATGCAGGTTGAGATAAAGGAGATGGAGACTGAGGTCTCGAAGTTGACAGCCGAAAAAGA